TTTGAAAAATAAAGAGGATAGTTTTTAGATAAAGATAAGATGATGAATAATGTCCAAAAACATAATATTTGTTTCCGAGATATACTGGATAAAAACGGAAAGCAGATAATGAACAAGTTCTGGAAATTCCCAGATGGTTAAAAGTATAATTAATTCTGGCAACCAAACCTGATCATTCAATGCTACTAAACCATCCACGGTCCATCTTCACAACACATTTCTTTTCTGAAGACATTTACAGCCACCACATTCTAATGCAATGAAGACTTCACTATGAAAAACCGGCTATTCCTATAAGTTATCAGTCATCTTCAGTAAAAATAATTGACATTCATCCTATCAGAAGGGTGAAACAGAATATAACACATCTAAACTGAGCCATAATATTTAATTTCTTGAGTATCACAATCTTAAAAAGTATTGTATATAAATGTTCAAAATAATACCAATGCCTAAGATAGCTGTTATATGGTAACAATAAAGTGACTGGCAGTACCTGTCAAACTCTTCATAATAAATTACCATGAAATTAAAGGACCCTTTCTCTTGACCTGAGTGTCAGTAACCTACCATGGTTGTCTGCATCTTGTCAGTAAGAGAGCCAGGACTTGCAGACCTGCTAATGTAGTCAGTGTCATGAAATAAATACCATATATTTGTACCTATGAGAAGCCAACAATGACATTACTCTGAGGAATAGCATTATTACATTTATCTGTTCATGGCAGTCCCAAATCCCTGGAAGCAGATAATATTTGGGACAGCAGACAAGACCTTTCAACCACCTACATAACAGTGACAGAAACTCTGTGGAAAAATAAATGGTAATGGTATGTTAGGAGGAGGTATTCACTATATAATGACATCTGCATATCATGAGAGGATGATACTTGGAAGAACAAGGTATAAATGGAAGCAAAATGCTGTAATGTAGTGATAAGAATCACAATTGTATGAGTAACACCCACATTACATGTTCCTAACTTACTGTATTTCTATAAGCCAGGGTATATTGCTAGATATTATAATAGCATACACAATAGGGCCGCTGTTGTCAGAGTACAGATTTACAGTTACCAAAATGTAGGACAGAGGGGGGTGAAATGTCTTATAAGAATAGTTCATCACATTCACCACTTGCCTGCTGCCTGACAAGACATTTGTTTCTCTCAGTAACTTCTGTGTAACTATTATATCAAAATGTATTTCAGAGAAATCAACTGTGGTGAAGTGACATAACAGAATTTGGTACTAAGCTTCCATTGCTGCAATGATAAAACTCTCTGCTCAGGAAGTGAATCAAATTAATTTAGAGGTTAAGAAACACTGTGACAATTCCTTCAAAAAAGCCAATAACAAAGAAACCCTCTCAACATTTCACAATAGCATACCAACAGTACAGATCTAGTATATCAGCAGTATAAAACAAGCATGGTTCAGTGATATTTTGGTTGAAACTCAATTGGTACAACTGTAGTTTATTGTGGCTTTCCCAAGATTCCCACTCCAGTGATAATACACACTTTCTTAAAAATGTATTTTTTTGCTAGTCCTGAAATATTCATACTTACTGGGTCACTGTGGAAATCTAAAAGCACACTGCGATAAAATTTCCACTGCCTTTTCACATGGACAATCAATGTAGGTATTTAAAAAAGCCACAGACATATGTTTGCTTTTTTCCTAAGGCATTTCATCTTTTTGACAGCATTACACATATTTACTGTCAGCTTGTTCAGCCTGTCACAGCTTCACAGGAGCTGCATTAGCCATCATTAACAGAGTTCCTACTAAAACTTCTCAGCTTCTGTGGCAGTACTGAGTATCACCCCAACAGGAAGCCTGCACCTGATGTTCCCTCCTCACTAGAGGCACTCTTTGAGAGTAAAGGTACCAGAATATCTTGCAGAAATGTGAAGTCAGCACAGTGGTTGTACAAATTGTGTTAAAATAAAATTAGAAGATGAGACTGGGTCAAGAAAAGTACTGAAGTGAAACAAGAAAGTGACCTCTCACCATTGTTAATACCTTATTAATAATAAGCTGAAGGAGAAAGGAAAAGACCAGATGTGAAAACATTAATATTTGCAGACAATGTACTGATAGGGGGAAAAGTCAAAATGAAATCAATTATAAAGAAATATGAACCTGAAATAAATATGGAGAAGACAGTCACTGATAATTTCAAGGAACCTACGTAATGGACAGATGTATTTAATTTGGAAGAAAAATATACCAGTAAGTTCAGAAGGGAAAATCAATGGAGATATCAATGGAAAGAAAAGAAAATAGTTCTGAATATTTGGTACAGAGAGATCCCAAATACAATGCAAAACAATTTATATGGCATATTATTGTTGTTGTTGTTGTTGTTATTATATACAGAAATAAAATATATGACTAAATTTTTTATTATTATAAGAGTAACCCAGAAAGTAATGCAATAATTTTTTTCTCATTCACAATTTAATTTATTAGAACTTCAAGTATGTCACATTGGTACCTGAATGTTTTATTTTTCAACATCATCTCCTCACTCCATGGCCTTATGCCATCAAGATGTGAGAGCCTGTATGCAGGTCTCTTGTCACCACCAGCTCTTTGCTCTGGAAAAGGTGGCAGTGGCGGTGGGGGTGGGGGTGGAGAAAGTCATTATGAAGTAAAGAGCTGGTTGCAACAGAGATCTGCAGAGTAGTACTGTGAAGGCATACAGGCTCTCGCATCTCGGTGGCATACAACCAAAGATTTACAAGATGATGATGTGGAAAAATAGGCTTAGGTAGCCAAAAATTCAGGTACTAATATGACATATTTGGAATTTTATTAAATCTAACTGTTAATGCGGAAAAAATCTGTTCCATTACCGCTGGGTGACCCTTATATTGCAAAGTATACAGTCGTGTATTTTACTTCACTGTCAGATATCCTAGTTTACTAGTAACCATGCCTTGCCTCTAGGGTGAAATTTCCCAGATGAAGTTATTATCAGAATTACACTCTCACATGACTAGGACAGGATATACAGTGTTGTCAGAGAATGTGTGAACAGAGACTCTGAAGTAAATATGAACTTAAAGATATGGTGACAAGCATGACCCATGTCATTATGAAAAAAGAGAAAGGAGTTTGGTGGAGGAAGAATACACCAATTAGAACACACTGATAATGAAATATTTTGTTTCAGTTCACAATAAAAGAGTAAATTAACAATATGTGATCTGCTCAACTGTAAAACCATCAGTATCACTGAATCTGCAAAATGAACTGCAAATTTACAAATAGTTCTTATAGTGATCTCGAAATGACCCTTCCATAAAAACTACAGTTAAGAGCACTGGTCAACATGTATGCACAAACATAAGAGTGTTATACTATATCACTAAATTTATTATATGAATTATATGGAAAGTACCACTAGTACTGTCCTAAGGCATGTAGGTCCTTAAGGGGGCAGGGAGAGAACATAAGGCAACTGTTAGCTGGGAATATAAGTATCATTCATTAATATCCTGAAGTTCAAATTGATTCGTAAGTGACATATGTCTCAACCATTTTGCCATTTGCAAGACAATAAAGCTAAAGCTATCCCTGTAACAGGCCATGAAGGCTCATAGCGTTGTGAGATGTTGAGGGTCCCACATTATCTAGACAATCGGCTCACAGATGGCGGTAAGGTTGTCAGCCTTACACGCTGGCCGCCCTTTTACCTCCCAGGAAAATTCCTGGTACTCATTTCTGTTAGAGGCTGAGTCGACCCATGGCCATAGTGTGGCTGGAAGGTTTAGTCAATTGAAAAATCCAATGACCTCATTGGGATTCAATCCCATGACCTTCCAGCCTTTAGCATAATGCCTCAACCAACTACACTACAGCGTGGCCCTGCATGATGATACAAAGAGACAAAAATTACCAAAATTATTTTGTGTATGATAATGAACACAGTGATACTGCTTACAAGATGACCTGACAATATTCTGTAAAACATGCCAGTAGGAGTGTCAACTTTAATGGATAAAGGGTGTCTCGTGGTCAGTGCAACGAATCCCCATGGCTGTTAATTTCGGTTTTCTAGACCAGAGCCGCTACCTTTCCATTCAAGTAGCTCCTTAATTATCCTCATGAGGCTGAGAGGACCCTGTTCCAGACCCACTAACTTCGCTGACAAGCGGCAGTTGCTCGGTCGGTACAGTTGGCTTGCAGACTAAAGCCACGGAGTTTTTTTGCCAGTAAGCAATGGCCACTAGCTGTGTTCAATGATACTGTGGATGTGGTTGCCATCAATGCATACATATTGAGCAGTACACTGCTTCCTTAACGTAACAGAGAGCAACAAACTACTTCCTAAGCAATCTTGCAAAAGAGATGGCTCAACCTGAAATAAGAAGACGGTTGAAGAACCCACAGAAGAGAAAGAAAACCATCAGGAAAGCAGCTACTGCATGTAGATTTCAACAAATTCTGACAAGAATGGCAAAAATTCAGAAAGGAAAGGAATGAAGCAACTGAGGTGGGCATCCTGCTCAAAGAGAAAAAGACATGAAGACAAACGAAGTGTGTCATGTTTGTGGGGAGTATGTGCATAACGGCCATGCATCAAAGAAAATTCTGTGTAACCAGAGTGTTGATTGACATGAGAATTATTAACAACATATAATAATAGAGAGTCCATAAGATGAACATTTACAGTATCAGTCATTAAATCAAAAACAGTCAATTAGTTGACCCCATATTTGCACTATGTTATTTAACTGACATATGTAACTAACGTGAATTGTAATACATACAACATAAATAATAGTAACTGCATAAAAAAAAACATTTTTTAACAAATAATAGTAGTTTAAAGCAAAATATTTATCGGAGGTCAGAAAAGGCCCCACATAGATATACATATATAGGAATTATACTGTCAGCACAACAAATATACTCAGTTTTAATGTTTTACAATTCGATCTTTATTCCTGATACATGTTTCGGTCGTATAATGCCATAAGCCCGAAACATGTAGCAGGAATAAAGATCAAATTGTAAAACACTGAAACTGAGTATATTTGTTGTGTTGACATCATAATTCCTATGTATATCTGCAACACACAACAGGATGCAACCAACGAAGATGCCCCACACAAGTCCACATAATTCTGAAGGAAACATAAGGGTAAAAGGGTAAAAATGAATGGAAACAGTTAAACCTCCAAGAGTGGGTCATATTCCAGGAGCATAGAGAACATGGAAGGATATCAATTTCTTCTCTGCCATCCCCAAAGCATATGTTGTGAAATAATAACAAAAAAAATACCATTCTCCATCAATGTTTGTAGAAATGTACCAAAAAAAGGAACACAAAAAATTACATCAATAATGTAACCTGCAAATCCGATTATTAAAATCTGCTTTTTGCTCTCTGAGTGTGAATATCAACTACCGCCTCACTCAAAGTCTGAAACACACAGAGAAACTTAGTACAGGACAAAAGTAGGACAAAATGTCACAGTCCATCCACAATCAATGAACAACAGAGGCACTGGCAGCACTGCATCACGCTGTTGCTTATATGGGACCAAGACAGAAAATACTCTGATGCTAGTCTTTTGGTACCTGGCACTGGAGGCAGTCCTGCATGGTGGCAGCACAGTAGCGTTCCACCTGAACTGTTGCATGGTGAATGTCAAACTTCCTTTGCACCAAGCAAAGGGCCTGCTTCAACACAAGGTCTGAATCTGCTGACCGATCTGCAGACATAAAATGTACTTCCATTACTAACATTTTCCTCTACTGACTGCTTAGCATTATATCTGACACTCAAGAGTACTGCAAAAAGAACTGTTTTTTTATTTATTTGTGGTTTATTTAATGTCTGTAACTCACGGCTACAGTGTGTCAAATTCCTGGATGACAGTGATTAATGAAATGAAAAGCATGTGGAAGGAAGTGGCTGTGGCCTAATTTAAACTATTATGCGGGCACCTAAATGGAGGTATCGAGAAAAATCATGACAAACTCAGTCAGGATAGTCAGTGTCCCAGCCCAGATTCAAACCACGCAACTCCCAAATACAAGGGAGAAATGTTACCACCCAAATCAACTTGCTCAGTATTGAATAGAATAGTAGCCGTCTGGTCATCACTCATTTAGATTCTGTATGCAAGTCCTCTGACATGTTCTGCATTGCCTGAGTACTGAGATTCACAGAAATGTAATATAGATCTTGTTGTTATGTTCTGCATATTTTGGAGGACTTCCATATATCAACTTCCCCCACACCTTTATGACATAGTGCTTAATTAGTTGGGCACAAGGACAACTTTATTTAACTTAGTACTGTCTTTGATGTGGTAGTCCTCAACACAGATGATACCTCAATTGGCATAAATGCCCAAAACACAATGCAAATGTCATGCAGTAACTTGTCTCTAGAATCCCAAGCATGATCTTGGCTCAAACGGCTGCTCCTTCCCCACCCAATGATTTTCAGAAACTGTTCTGCATAATGGCTGGTCTTAGGCTATGTGCTGGATAACAGGAGCATTGATTCATGTCGGGAGCAAGAGATTTTTCTATCCTCCACAGCAGTCACAGATTTTTTAACCCAACCAGTCTCTGATCCAATGATATTTTGGGCACTATTTCCAGGGATAAAGTGGCCAAGATGCTTAGATAACAACCTGCCTCCATTTAGTGCCAAGGTGAAGTATCCATGAACCTATACCTCTATTTCCCCATGTCTCTTCATGCCATGGTACTTAATTAAGCACAGGGACATCTTTATCTTTACACCTTCTGAAAATTCGTTATTGAAAATTTTTAGAATTTTTTCAAAGTGTCACTGATATCCTTCACTGTAGCCTGTGCAGGACAAAGTGGGATACTGTTACAGATTATATATGTACCCAATTTCCTTCACCCAACTCAGAAGGTCGCAGGTTCAAATCCCGATGAGGTCACTGGATTTTTTCAATTGACCTAATCCTTCTAGCAGCACTATGGCCCTGGAGTCGACTCAGCCTCTAACAGAAATGAGTACCAGGAATTAATTAAATAATTTTCCTGGGAGTAAAGCACGGCCGGCACGTAAGGCTGACAACCTGACCGCCATCTGTGAGCCTACTGCCTAGATAATGTGGGACCCTCAACATCTCACAACCCTATGGGCCTTCAAGGCCTGTTACAGGGATAGCTTTACTTTTTTTTTTACCCAATTTCCTTACTTCACAAGCTAGAAAAAGCTTATGGGGCTGTGACTGTACATGTCCTCTATAACCCCAACAGATTTTTCTGAAACCCGATCACTTACACAATATATTCTTTTTAGTATGATGAAATGAAGATAACCTAAAAATGAACATTCTGTCCAGAATATTATTTGGCAACTCACCAACAGCAAGATGGACAGCTAAAGCATTCTTGTTGAGAGTAAGTGACCAGACATGTAGGTTATGCACTGTCCGTACCCCATCAAGAGCACTAAGGTTGTTGGCAATAGCTGTATAGTCGAGATGTCGTGGGAAACCCTCCATCAGGATGTGGGAAGCATCCCTCAAAACTGGAAGTGTTGTTGCAAGAACCACTAAGGAGAAGAGGAATGTGCAGATAGGGTCCACTAGCTTTACTCCTGGCTGAAAGCACACGAACAGGTTCTGACAAGATTAATATTTTTTTGAAACGTGTTTCAGCCAACATCAATTATACATCCTACTTCTGGCTGGGAATGGACTAAAACATTAAAAATATTGAAACTGAAGGATAGTGTGAATCCTGGTGTTTAACACTGGACTACCACATTCACTTGTACTCCCCTTCCTTTACCACTATTTCAAGCACTCAAAATTAAGGTGGGGGCATTACAGATTTCTTCTGACAGGTTACTGTGCTATGTAAAAGAAACTATCATACTTTTAGGACGTTTATTTTCCTATCTCACACACACACACACACATATCTATACTTCATGGAATATCTGTTTGATTTGATTACACCTTGACAATGGAAAAAAATTGTACCAGTCATCTCATCAATATTATTCCATTCTTTGACCGATAAATGATACTTCTCGTCCATGTCAGACACTTCCACTTGATTAACTCACTGTTCAAGATCCAACTAAAGATGATCCACAAGTTTCATCCATTCATTCATTCATCAGTAATCTGTCAGACGACAGGTCCACAGTCTCTTCCAAAACAGTTCCTACACTTAATGCGATCTTCTGTTTTTGGAAAGAGACTATCCAGGAAAAGTGATAATGTGGTAGTTTTTCCATTTGCTTTCCACATCGCAGTACAGCAGCCATTCAAACCACTCTGGTCATGCCTGTTGCTATACGAACTTGAACCATCTCGAGCATCATTCGTTCTGTGCTTCAAGTTGCTACTGATGATGCTGCTTCTGGCATCAGTTTTTGGTTTTTGGTATCTCTCTTCGTCTGTCCAGCAAGGGAGACCCTGCCAGTAGCTACGCTACCGCTGGTATAGCTCTCAGGGTCCTTGGCATACTCAAACCCCCTCACCACGATAAGGTGGAGACACACAAGGGGGCCACAAGTTTCAGATCAGGAAAATGACTAACAAACTTCGGGATACAGAGCTACTTCTTGGTAAATCAGTCTTGACGAAAGCATGGGAATCAAGCTGTCTGAAATTATTAGCACAATCTACAGGTCACTTTGCATAACATCTTCAAAAATGTCTGTATAAAACTGTGTTTTGGGAAAAACAGCCCCACACCATCAGAGAACAGTCATCATGTTATATGGTGAAACCCAATCATGAAAGGCATATCTAACATTACGAGAACACCAGTCATAGCAATGCCCGTCACTGCTGAAGAGGCAGTACTTCTACTCATAACTTCACTGGCCACTCCCCAAATGTCTACATATTTGTGTTCTATATATGGATAAATACTGTCTTAAGTGCAACAAATTTTTATTGTAGCTTTTACTTCTTTTCCTCCTCCACACTACATGTTTCGGCCCTAAATGGCCATCATCAGGTGTGTATCACCCACGTAGCTGTTACACTGCTTGTTAAAATTTAAAATTACTAGTCTTTCTAATTGTATAAAATCTTTGTTAATCTACACGCGTCGATTTGATTTTTAAATTAGCACTTTTTAAAACTTAATTCAAGTTAAAATGTCTATAAGATCTCTGTTCTTTCTTTTTCNTTGAAAAAGAAAGAACAGAGATCTTATAGACATTTTAACTTGAATTAAGTTTTAAAAAGTGCTAATTTAAAAATCAAATCGACGCGTGTAGATTAACAAAGATTTTATACAATTAGAAAGACTGGTAATTTTAAATTTTAACAAGCAGTGTAACAGCTACGTGAGTGATACACACCTGATGATGGCCATTTAGGGCCGAAACATGTAGTGTGGAGGAGGAAAAGAAGTAAAAACTACAATAAAAATTTGTTGCACTTAAGACGGTATTTATCCATATATATTGTGTGAGTGTAACAGGATGCTGAAATGTAATATATTTGTGTTCATTTGAAAATGTCCACCTGCCCTCTTTTTCTTTGTGGATGTGGCATGATTTATTATTTATAGTTATGTCTGTCAATGTTTGTTTTCTGTATATTTCCATTTCTATATGTCCATTTCTGTTAGTTATGTTTAAGTCTAGGTAGGTTATTTGGTTGTTTACTTCTTCGTTTATTGTGAATTGTAGGTTTTTATGTTGTCTATTGAACTGTTCGAGGATGCATTGGGGAGTTATTTTTGTGTGATTATATATTATGAAGATGTCGTCTACATATCTGTTGTAGTATTTGATTTTCTCATCTTCCAGCAGATGTTTTATTCTGCTTTGTTCCATGTTTTGTAGGAAGATTTCTGCCACTGTATTCGATATGGGCGAGCCCATGGCTACAACTGTTCTTGGTTTATAATATTTTCCGTTATATTCGAATAATAAATCATGCCACCCTAAAGAACAAAAACTAGCAGCATATAAAAACTGGATACACAGACTTCTTACACTTCCACTTGAGAAGGATGCTAGAAGCAAAGAATTAAACACTATTATTAATATAGCACTAAATAATGGCCATAGAAAGGAAGACATTATAACCTGCAATTAATGAATATTTCCTTTCATTAGCTGAGAAAACATATTTCAATAATAATAATAATAACAATCCAATATACTATCTGTCACGTGCTTTTAACAATTCATTTCCAAATATAAATGTCAAATTCTCAACAAGGAAGGAAACTGAAAACATTATTAAATCCCTTAAGCCCAAAAATTCACATGGATATGATGAAATCTCTACCAAATTACTTAAAGCAAGCTCTGTTTACATCAGTTCACCCTTGAATCATCTATGTAATAAATCTTTATCATCAGGTACTTTTCCTCAACGCTTAAAATACGCTGTAATGAAACCACTTTTTAAAAAAGGAGAGAGAAAATGCATCTCTAATTACAGACCAATATCCATATTGACTTCATTCTCAAAAGTCTTTGAAAAAGTTATGTATAATAGACTACTTGAACACTTAAATTCTAACAACATATTAGTCAAAGAGCAATTTGGATTTAGGAAAGACCTAACAACAGAAAAAGCAACCTATGAACTAACTAACGATATTTTAAGTGCTCTCAATGACAGATTAATTGTGGGAGGGATTTTCTGTGATCTAGCAAAAGCTTTCGATTGTGTTAATCATGATATCTTACTATCGAAATTAAATTTCTATGGAATAACTGGCAAAGCTAATGAATGGATCAAATCATACCTCAAAAACAGGTATCAAAGAGTTGAAATAAATAATAAAAACTCCAGTCATAATGCATTTTCAAACTGGGGAATTATAAAGCACGGTGTTCCACAAGGATCAATTTTAGGTCCCTTACTTTTTCTTCTCTACATAAATGATCTATCTAAAACCATCAACAATAAATCTAAACCAATTCTATATGCAGATGACACTAGTATAATATTTAAGAACTCTAAATTTGAAAACTTTAAAAATGACATAAATATTGTATTTGAAGCCTTAAACAGATGGTTCGAAGCCAATTTACTCTCATTAAATTTTGATAAAACCCATTACATATCATTCACAACTAAAAACAACCACCAAATTGATCTGGACATCAGTTATGCCAACAAATTAATCTGTAAAGTACTTGATACAAAATTCCTTGGAATACATGTAGACAGTACACTGTCTTGGAAAATACATATTGAACAAATTATACCTAAATTAAATGCAGCTTGCTATGCGATGAGATCAATTAAGCCTTTTATGTCACAGGAAACATTGAAGATGGTTTACCATGCCTACTTTCATTCTATTATGAACTATGGATTAATATTTTGGGGGAACTCTTCACATAGTGTAATAATTTTTAAAATACAAAAGAATATAATTAGAATCATTACAGGATGTAGAAGTAGAGATTCATGTAGAGAATTATTTAAGAAATTAAAAATTCTACCTCTTCAATCGCAATACATATTATCGCTTCTCTTATTTGTTGTTTACAACAAAGATAAATTCAAATTAAATTCTGATGTCTATAACATGAATACTAGACAAAAATATAACTTCCACCTACCCTCATCAACTTTATCAGTATATCAAAAAGGAGTCTACTTTACTGGCATAAAAGTGTTCAACAATCTGCCACAAAGTATTAAAAACTTGGGCAATGATACTAAAAAGTTTAAATCAGAGTTAAAGAATTATCTACATGCTCATTCCTTCTACTCTTTAGATGAATACTTCAATGTAAATAGAGAATGATGTAAAATTAAGTTATATTAATTTTTAAGCTAAAATTGCCTGTAGTTATGTATGTAACCTTTTGACTTGTTCTGTATCCAAAGGTACTAACCTACTTAGGATTTATAGAATGTAAATAAATTCCATTCAATTCAATAACAAACTTAAACAAAAGATAAGTAACCCGGATAATAAAGATGAAAAAGAACAACAAAAATGGGTCACTTATACCTACACAGGAAACTACATGTGAAAAATCACAAAACTATTAAAAAACACCAACATAACGATAGCCTTTAAAACAACACAAATAAACCCGTACGGGCATAGTGGTATATACAAATTAACATGCCAAAGTTGCCAAAAAGTATACATCGGCCAAACGGGTAGAAATCTAACAACTAGATACACAGAACACATAAGAAATATAAGACTAAACAAAGACGAATCGGCGTTTGCCCAACATATACTAAATAATCTCCATCAATACGGACCAATGACAGTAATTATGGAAATGATCAAAAAAGCTAAAAAAGGAGGCATAATGAATATAAAAGAGGACTTCTACATATATCAATTTAATAAATTCAATAAATTGATAGAAGAACAAAAGTATAAGAGAGAAAGTAATAGCCTACGTAATATGTTCGACCTCATAATACATCATCAGAACATGCCCACACTGACGTCACANTTTTTTTTTAATTAACATCAAGAAATTTTATATAATTTTTTAAAAAACTTTACATTCCCAGGAATGTTCTATTTTGTGTACTATGCATTGTAGCATATAAGTGTACGTACTTTACGTCTAAACAACTTATGTGATGGTGGTTTCCTGTTTGTAGTGATGTTTGCGCTCTGAAGATGGTCCACAGAGACCGAAACATGTAAGGGTGTTAACTTTTCAAAAACTTACAGGTCACATTGGACGGAGTGATTTATATTTGTAATTATTAGTGTGACGGACCAGAATGAAACAAATCAAACTTGTAATAATTAGTATGATATGTGGATCTATACATCCACTCCATCATGTCTTCATGGCGTAGCGCTTAATTAGTTAGGCACAGGGACAACTTTATCTTTACCTTTAATAGGCAGTATGTATACCTGTATTTATTGCATAAAATTACATATAACAAAAATTATGCAATTCCTATTTTTAACTGTCATTTTTATGATCAGAGTACCAAAATCAGTAAAAATAACATCTTATTTTGTATACACTGCTGACAAGAAGTATACTGTTTCAAATTATATGATCATGTAATCTAAAACATACATTTCTCTCCTAATGTATAAATTCGGCTGATAGTTGGGTATAATACTAATCTCCTTTAACATATCAGTTTCCAAATCTCCCTCAGAGTAATTTGCAATCTGACATAAATTTTTCTTCTACAGATGATGGAAATCTCAGGGTAAAATAAGACAGAACACAAAAATATCCCAGATGATCATACCGTAACAACAAAATAACTATATGGAGTGGAATTAGCAGACCCCTTCATCTGCCATACAAACATATTGACATGTGATGAGCTTACATAAAATTTAATGATGAAGGCTGACACAAGAACACCAATACTCTGGATTAGATCACCCAGAACATGGATCACTGCTGCCCGAACATTGATGTTATTTTGTTTGTTTCGTTCATTTCTTCGCGCCAACTGGCCATGGTGACTGTGGTGGTGACCCACATTACTACAGGCTCCATGTAACACAAGGCCCATCCTACAACAAAACAAACCATCAAAGTGAAAACAGTTTTAACATTGAAATGAGAAACAGAAGTTAAAACTGATGATATGAAGGGTAGATTCTATGAGGAACTAGAAAATATATTTATAAATTCCCTAAATGCCATATGAAAAATTTGCAATGAGATTTCAATGACAAAAGTATGTAGGGAAGACTTTATCACACCAACAATTTGGATTAAGCGTTTACATGAAATTAATAATGATAATGGAGTTAAAGTAGTAAACTTTGTCACATCCAAAAATCTGACTGCTGAAAGTATAATGTACCAGCATCATAACATTCATAAATTTACATGGACATCTCCTGATGGAAAGACAATGAAATTGGCCATATTTTGATAGACAGTATGTGCCATTCAAGTGTACCTGATGTCTGATCATTCAGGGGAGCAGATTGTGATACTGGCCACCATCTGGTAAAACTGACTAGTAATTATTGTGGGATATCACTGCTATGAACATCATACAAAATTTTTTCCATTGTCCTTTTCTCAGAGATTAAGGCCACTTATAGATGAAATTATTGGGGATCATCACTGTGGGTTTCAATATAACAGATTTTCTGCATTCATCAGATACTTACTTACTTACTTACTTACTTATGGAGCTGAGCCCTTTTTGAGGAGAAGCCAAAGATGAATGCATACAGGATATTGGTGGGAAAGTCAGAAGGAAATAGACCACCGGGAAGACCTAGGCGTAGGTGGGTGCACAATATTAAAATGGATCTTAAGAGAGATAGGATGGAATGGTATGGATCAGATTGATCTGGCTCAGGATAGGGACCAGTGGAGGGCTCTTGTGAGCACAGTAATGAACATTCGGGTTCCATAAAATGCTGGGAAATTCTTGAGTAGCTGCAGAATTGGCAGCTCCTCCAGAAGGACTCAGCTCCATGAGTGAGTAAGGAAGTAAGTAAGTGGGGTGGAACTAAGACCCTTGTACTGCGGCCACTTCTGGCTAATTGTACCAGCCCCAGATGATAGGTGAGGGTGATTGTGGAGCAATTGGTGGAAAGAAGATTGGCAAGGGAAACCGAAGTACTCGGAGAAAACCTGCCCCAGTGCCATGTTGTCCACCACAAATCCCACTTGACCAGACGCGGGATCGAACCCGGGCCGCTGCAGTGGGAAGCCAGCGACTAACCACTTGAGCTATGGCACAGCCTGGGAGATAACATAGCATATCATTAAGAAAAACTCAGAAATGTTAATTAAAGCTACTAAGGAGGTAAGTCAAAAAGTAAACACAGAGAAAACTAAGTATATGTTGCTGTCTCATCACCAAAATGTAGGGCAAAATCATGACATAAAGTTAACGGATCCTTCGAAAATGTGGTACAGTCCCAATATTTTGGAATGGTGGTACCAAATAAAAATTTCATTCAGGAGGAAAATAGGAGATTAAATTTGGGTCATGCTTGCTTCCATTGAGTCCGAAACTTTTCATTTTCTTATCTGCTGTCTAAAAACATAAAAAAAAAATTAGAATGTACAAAACTCTAATTTTGTCCATTGTTTTTGTATAGGTGTGAAACTTCATTTCTGACATTAAGGAAGGAACACAGACTGAGATTGTCTGAGAACAGGGTCCTGAGGAGAATATCTGGACCGAAGAGGAATGAAGTGATAGGAGGGGGGAGAAAACTGCATAACAAGGAGCTTCATAACTTATGTGCTTCACCAGGTATAATCAGAACAATTATTGTGTTTTGGGGCATTATCCATCATCTTGTTTCTTTAATAAAACACAACATGATTAATAATGTCCAAGAACACAATCACTGTATTAACATACCAACAACACAAACTTTTACACCTCATTAAGTGTAATTAGAATCATCAAGTCAGGGAGGATCAGATAGGCAGGGCATGTAGCACCCACTGGGACGAAGAGGAATGCATATAGGATTTGGATGGTAAAGACAGAAGGAAAGAGACCACCAGGAAGACCTACACATAGGTTGGAAGATATTAACACTTTGCAGACCAGCAATTTAAATATTTAAATTACCCTGGGGACAGGAATTTTTTAACCCACTACCCTAACTTGTGCACTGTTCACTTTAAAAATTAATATAAAATATCCTAATTAATTTTATGAACTAAAATTTTTGGAGAACACTTACCAATGCTTCTAGAAGTGCTTGAGAGTGTGATATTTCTGGAAACATTCCCCTTCTACCTGCACTTTCGTCGGAGCTACTTTCACTTATATTGTCTGTAGCCACAATTGTTTGTTGTCCTCTGCCACTGCCACTGTCAAATCACTATCACTACACGTCTCAGAAGGAATGTCAAATAGCTCACATCAGATAGCACGTCGGAGAACAAGTCAGCTATTGCTTGGTTTTCAACCGCTTCTGTCCTTGACTCATTGCGCAACTAACTTCCTGCCTGGTACATAAGAGCTTGAAGGGTCAAAGATAATTTTCCTTTGGAAGGGGTACCCAAACAGTGAGATCAAGTTACTGCCTACTAAGCAAACATTCCGGAATAATATTATGCAGTAGTCATTTTATTTGGGTGGCGCCAGAGAAAGGTATAATGTGTTACAATCTAACGTGTCCTAAAGTCATAAAAATATGCCACCGGTCCGCCACGTTTAAAAGCGCTGGGCATAAAAGTATGCCACCAGTCCACAAAGTGTTAAAATGAATCGTAGAGAAACAGGATGGGGTGGTATGGATTGGATTCATTAGGCTCGGGATAGAGACAAATGGAGGGCTCTTGTGAAGACGGTAATGAACCTTCGGGTTTCATAAAATGTTGAGAGATTCCTGAGTAGTTGCACAACTGGTGGTTTTTCAAGAAGGGCTCAGTTCCACGGAGTTAGTCAGTTCATCCATTAAAGAACACATTTTTTTCTATGAGCCACACTAATAGTTTAAAAGCACCACAATTGGTTCATGAACCATAATTTGATCACATCTGGTATATAATCATATTAACCATTGCCAGCAATGTGCATCTGTTGTACAAGAGACTGATGTTACAGGATTATATAGATCCAAAGGGTATGTAACTGCTGCCAGTTTCCATGTTTTCACCACTTTCACTTCCACTGTCATTTTCATTACTGCAATAATCACCATTTCGCTCTCCCCACACTCACAGCCATACCATTCCATTACCATCAAAATCAACATTATAATGTCTAGAATCGCACAAACAACAGAAGAATTCAAATGCTTTCACAGGTTACAGACCATTTTAAACATTTACAAATTGAGGATGAGCATAATAGGTGTATTATAAACTAATTCAAGGTCTTGAAGCAAGTCGTCTTCAGGGTTTAGGCGCCGTGTATTCTTCGTTTTGGCTGACGTTTAGGAGGAACGTATCGCCTCCATCTTCAGAGCAGGTGAACGGCTTGGAATGCAGAGAGCAGTAGCTGTAGCTACTCTGCATTCCAAGCCATTCACCTGCTCTGAAGATGGAGGCGATACATTCCTCCTAAACGTCAGCCAAAACGAAGAATACACGGCACCTAAACCCAGAAGACGACTTTCTTCATAGTCATCGCCGTGAAAACCTCAAAACTTACATAATTCAAGGTCTTATTTTGCAAATTCCTGAAGATACTTAAGTTGGCAAGTATTACACACTTTACACAACTAAAGGGTAGAGGTTCATAATTCTAATAAGGTTCAAAACTGTATCAGAAGACATATTAAATTTGTATGCAAATGACATTGGATACTGCACACATGCATAAAATGTTAAGCACAATGTTCTTATAAATCAGCTATAAATAAAATGAACTGTATTTTTCAGCTTAATTTGTATGGGTAATGAACAACAATAAGGACACAATGATTAACACAACAACTTGCCTTTACACTTTCAATAGATTTGACTTTTATTCATCCATTTGTTCACCCAAATAAAAACTGGTTCTAGTAAAAATGTAAAGGCAAGTTGATCTATTAATCACTTTCACAAGATCCAATTTTTATTTATCTAGAAAACTCCATGGTTTTATTCTGCAAGCGAACTGTGCAAGTGACCGCTGCTTGTCAGCGAAGTTAGTGCCAACTTCAGATAAAAAATTGAATCTATTTAAAGTGTAAAGGCAAGCTGATCTATTAATCACTGGGGTTCTATATAGAGCCACACAGTATGGAATGAATTGAGATATGCTAACAGATCTGCACCACTCATAGGAAATCTAAAGGCCTTGAAAATTATCTTGTTGCTCCAATGGAATGTGAAATGTACTCACACAATGTTGATGGCAACACCAATAGCTGCTACAATCATCATTGTGTCAGCCTTAATGTTGAAGTCCTGGTGAATGAACCGAAGCACTGCGAGATATATAAACACTCCAGTCATCACCCAAATGATGGAAATACTTAGCAATGCACCCAGGATCTCTGCAGCATAAATAAATTCATTTGTAACATATTATTCGCTGTGCATCATCGGGTTTAATCAAATTGTACCCAAGTGATTTACAACAGTTGTAAGAACTCTCATATTCATAAGAGGATTGTGGATATTATGAAAGATGACTAGATGACTATAGTTAAACCCTAGCTAAAGGTAAAGTTGTCCCTGTGCTTAATTACTTAAGCACCATGCCATAAAGATGTATGGGGAATGGAGGTATAGCTCCACTATTCTTCATCTCAATATTAGATGGAGGTGAGTGGACAGCTTCACGCTCCTGCAGCTTTACCCCTGGGAAACAGCCCACAGTTCCCACTGAAGAGATGGTTGAGTGAGCCCCAGAACCAGTCTGGACACTACGGAGAAAAGAAAAATTTTACCCCGCAGGCAACTGAACCCTGGCTGTTCAGCCTGTAGCCTGTCACTATACCAACTAAGCTATTCCAGGTCTGTGACTACCACAGATAATGTTCAGTTTAATGCTTTCACTACCTTGACTTTAATTTCTATGGTCCCGATATAATCATATCAGTAAATTCAACTCAGATTAACTTCTAGGGATTTTATTATATCCTGGTAGATGACAAACTATTGTGATTACAAGAGTTATGATCACACAAAACATTCCAGCCTTCCTCACAATAAATACTGTGACAAGATGATTGAAAAAGACAGCCACTACTAGGTTACAGCACAGTGAACATGCAATGACATCATTAAACAAGGAGTCATTCCTATGCAACAGCACATAAACAACAAATATGATGTGCTGTTTTCTATGGGTCTGACCTGAGGCTATATAATGTGGACCAACAGGACAAGCCAAGCAATAGAGATGTGGTCTTAAGGCTTCCAGAGCCATCAGACAGTGAAACATGGTCATGAGTTCTGTGAGACTGGGAACCAAGAATCACTGCCCTGGAGAAGGCCAGCTGCAGTCAGGCAGTCAGTTAATCCAGACAATTGTGGTCATGAGTTAAGAGTCGATAGTTAAATTAGTCGTGAGACATGCACCAGACAGTAGGTATGTAAGCAGGGGACAGAAGGCAATGGCCAGTGAAGACAGAGAAGACATGGCGTGTGTTGTAGTGAAAAGTAAAGAGGATGAACTGGTAAGAGCATTACAATTACTTTTAGTTACAATTCTAAGTGTTCAATAAATCCTATTACCAATACAAACTCTGTGTCTAGTCACTAACACGTGGAAATATTATCTGCAATGCAATTTTTTCTTATCTTATGACCTAAATGCACTGAAATTCTGATAAGCAGTACTTCAGAGGAATGAAGCTGTTTGAACTTCACAGGTAAAAATTCTAGACTCATTTCAGCCCATAATCCAAACTCAGCATTCCTTACTGGAGAATTGCATCATGTTCAGGATGACAATGACAGCCAGCCAATATCATATGCAATGAATATAGAGAATGTTTCTCCAGGAAGTTATGGCTGCTGAAGCATGGACATCAGTCACCTATGCCCAGTGCTTATGTCAGAAATGAGTGAGCCTCCAACTCCATGTTTTGCATATGCCATTGTAATGCAACATTCATACAAGTTTCACACATAAAACATCAACTATTTTAAATACATAACACTGTGAACAGCACATACCAGCTCGACAGTAGCCAAATGAAAATCTTCTTGTGGGGGTTCGTCTGCCCAACCAGATGGCAACCAAACTGACCAGAAAGCCCACAAAGTCTGAGAGCAGATGGGCTGCATCTGTCATGACAGCGAGGCTTCCTGCCAAATAGCCACCAACCACTTCTGCAACCTGCAGTGTTCAATCAGAAACAGCTCTCATGGAATTTATCTTGTATACTGGGGGTACCTATCTCACAATTTCTATTATCTGCTGCAGTAAATGCCAGAACAGTATATTTACAATGACAATATGACCCAGCTCAAATTACAATCCGTTTCATAACTACTGTTTCATAATACTCAATTTTTCACCCGACACTCACCCAACTACATGTTCTATTAACCAAGTCAGCAAATGTAAGCCTCATTACTTCTGAATACATGTATAGGTCACAACACGGCAGTATGCACTGGCTAGTCTGAGACAGAAATGAAGACTGATGATTGATTCTTGACGCTTTTAATGACACTCTTTCAACTGCAGAAATTAAAAGCATCTTATGAGTTGGAAAGGTGTTCATAATGATAAGTAAGAAATTGGGAAGGCCTTGTCATGATGTACTTCAAGATATAAGCCAATATTTGCTTGGAAATGTGCCAGTTCCCACATTCCTGTTTAAAAGAATGATGAGGAGGAAGGGTGGGGGAGGAGAAGAGTGACAGTATCACTCAATTTCTCTACTATACAGTTGGATATGAGTGAATACATGTATTAGATTGCTGTACCAAGACATACTTAATATCTCAGAAAAAATGCAGCTGCAATGAACATTTCCAAATTTGATACTGCATGTACAGGCTTGTGTACAACTCATTCCATTGCTTTAGGCATTTGTGGTCAGCATTTAAAGTCAGAGTAAGTCTATTTAATAATATTTGACAGTACAAAATATGATGTTATTAAATTTTGCAAGTAGGCTGTAAAGACAGTGATTGAAACTTATCACTTGACATGAATAACATTTGGAAGGCAACAATGACTCCAGTGAAAGTGATAAGAATCCTGAATGCACTTTAGCAAGTATAAATGATGAATCAGCAGCTGAGAATAATTTCCTATAGTTCATCTTCCTTGCATTGTGTTCTACATCATCTGATGCACTAAGCCCAACTTGAAATCCAGTACAGCTTTGTTAAAGAGACTTCTCAATTCCACTATGATAAGCTCGGTTCTTCATTACACAAAGGAAATCTAGGAATTTTCCCTTACTGAGTACTTCTGTCATTTTGAATCCAACTTGTTAATGTATTTTCCATATCTCAGTTACCCTTCTTCACCTACCTTGACTCTGACAATGATTGAGTATTCTGTGAACAGTTCTATATTCAGGTCAGTTACTTTTCAGACAGGAAACAACTTAATTTGCAAATTCCTTCTCACTATCATGAAGGAGTACAGATGGTGTTCATATCAACGTAAACATTTCATTCAAGATGTATTCCACATCACTTGTTGGCATAGATTCATGAGCTCTAAGGACAACAAAGTTTGTACAGCAGTCTTGATACAATAGTATCAATTTGTATTTTCAATCTGACTGAGACTAAAGATATATGCAATACGAGAATTTTATGAATAACTAACACTCACAGTATAAATATTATGTTTTTGGACATTATCCATGTCTTTTCTTTATCTAAATATAGAGTGCTGTTGAAATATAAATAGGGCAGTGTTTTAGATAAAAACAAGAGGATGGATAATGTCTAGAAACATAAAATTTGTACTAACACACCATCGTCACAAACTTTTAGAATTTACTCACAGTACAAAGTTAATTTAAAGCAAAGTACATTATTTAAAAAAAAGTATATGTGACCGAAATTGTGTTCTTATAAAACCTATAACAGGTTACAAAATTGTGGAACATATGGCCTTGTTAATGATCCTTGTATCAGAATATATCAGGTTGAACACAATTATAGATTAATGATTGCTGTATTTGAATTCTTGTAAACTATACCAATTAAATTATAATACAACAGTATTTTTTTAAATCTGAAAAAAAAATTAAGTGGAATAATAAACAATATTATATTTAAGCATCCTGTTGCACTTTATATGATATATGATATAATTCCATCCTAAAGACGAAGAAAAAAACGAAAGACCTATAAATATAGTTTGCACTTAGGACGGAGTTATATCATATATCGAATACTAAACATTTGTAACATTTCTTTTACTTAGTTCCTGACCAAAATTTCTCCATTTCAAATAGACACTCAGCATCTATTACATACTTAACAGCTTTGCCTTCATGTGATGGTCAAAGAAGCAACTACTGTCCATATATATGCAGACCTTGCATTTCAGATACTGCATATATTTCTTGTAATCTACAAAATGAATGCACACAACACTGCATTCATTTTGCTGGGGCGGTGAAGTCTACTAATGCTGGTAACATTATTTGCTGGTACATCAGATGGCCTCTTTGGATAAGGGTGTTTCATATAGCATGTGCCAGCATGTTCCTCACTACAAATGAATCCCATATGTGGCAGTGTACTGGTTTGAGTGACTATGCTACAAGCCGGAAGGTCGCAGGTTCAAGTCCCAATGAGGTCATTGGATTTTTTCAATTGACCTAATCCTTCCAGCCGCACTATGGCCCTGGGGTTGACTCAACCTCTAACAGAAATGAGTACCAGGAATATTCTTGGGGGTAAAGGGCGGCCAGTGTGTAGAGCTGACAACCTTGCCACCATCTATAAGACGATTGTCTAGAAAATGTGGGAACCTCAACATCTCACAACTCTATGGGCCTTCACGGCCTGTTGCAGGGATACCTTTACTTACAGCTTACATTTCTGCAATGACACACACATATCATAAGGTTGAAACTGTGATTATACACGATTAAGTCTACTGCCATGTATTTTGTCCTTGGGATGTGGAGTATTTGCTCTATTCAGGAACTGTTGAGCCGCAGAACCCTCAGGGCATGCTTGCAATGGGAGTTTTGTGCATTGTATCTGCATGTTGCTAGGTGACAACTCTGTGAATGATTGGATGGCACAAAAGGAAGTAGGAGTCACATGACCTCTGCGATTCTGCAAGTGATGTCACATACCCCCACTCAGCCCATCGCTACACAACGCTCAGTAAACACCCCTCCATGCTAGGCTGTGATATCACGCAACAGTGGTAGCTATCACATAACTTATTTTTTAATTCACTTAGTGTGGGTGGAGTCCAGCTGGGTCCACTTGGCACGTTGGCCGCTGTTTGGACTATTGTACCTGCCGCAGGTGATTATGATGTTGGAGAACTGGTGGAATGAAGGTTGGCAGGGGAAACCGAAGTACTCAGAGAAAACCTGCCCCAACGCCACTCTGTCCACCACAAATCCCACTTGACCAGAACTGGGCTCGAACCTGGGCTGCTGCAGTTGGAAGCCTGTGACTAAAAGCTTGAGCTATGGTGCGGCCTAACTGGTTTCTATGGAGTCCGTTGCTGGGTAATCGCTCAGTAAACACGTTCCAACAATATGTGCTGCCTTCTGCATGGTCAGTGTGGAAGCCATATAACGAGAGTATTCGGCAGCATGTTCAACATGCCTGCATGGAGGTGAGTTCGAATACCTCCACCGTGACCCTGCGAGTTGTAGGAGGCGATGAAAAGGGAAGTCTCAAATCCGAAACAGTAATATATGGTCTCGAGTACCAAGGGACTCGGACCCGAGAATAACTGCGCTGGCAAGGACCAGCAGCATATACAAAAGACAGACTCATCCTCTCGTCAGAGACGGCGCCCACAAAAAACAAGATCATAACTGTCAAATAGTAATAAAAATCTGGTCACAAGCACCAGATGAGTACTTTATGCCAAGACAGACTAGCCGACTGACCGTTGGTCATAAAATGAGACTGAGACTGAGACTGAGACTCATGTTCAACAGAAAATTCAATGGAGGTGGGATAGGGAGCTGGTGGCAAGAACAGATAAGGGTCAAACTCATGCAAGAATTGAAAGAACAGGTGCAGAAATCTGCTCTGTAAAGCCTGTACTGACAGAGGACTTGTGTGTGGTGCAAAAGGAAGAATTTTCAATAACATGTTACATGTGTGAAATATACACTTGACGAAAGGCCAAATGTATTAATAAGAGACAACCCCTTCTTCTCGTCAGAGAGGATATTACATAAGGATTATTACCGCAAGAGTACAGTTGGAAAAAAAATCTCTGGTTGTGGGCCTCAAGGGACCTGATGCCAAGACAAACTGACTGGCGGTAATCCGCCAGTCATAAAGTAACTTTGACTTTTAACAGATGCCAGACGATGGCCAGCCAAGAAATGATGGAAACACATCTGGAATGTGAGGAGCCAGCCTCAGCAGACATGGAGGCCTGCCAAAAAGACGACCGCCTGCCATGAAGCGACAGAGACAGATGCAGTGAGGACTGAGCGCAATTCAGGAATGATGCAGCCTGTAGCGGAGCATCACGAGGTCCCCACCGTTCAGGAGTGGCAAGGAGCAAGAGAAATTTCATCAAGAAATATTTTACCAGGGACAATACTGAACAAAACACCCGGAAATGAACATTCTAGAAGAGAATGTGGAAAAGCCTGAGATACAACAATGGTATAAGGGACCAAGGCCTAAGACTGCACCTGTGACATAAAAGGGAAGTCAAGAAGACCCTCAAGAAGGCCCTATGGCTGGAGATTGGGAAACAAGCAACTAGGATTTCCAGCGCGTTGCAGACAATCAAGAGCTGGACATTGTGGAGGGGTCAGCCCTCTCCGAAGCAGAAAAGGGAGCAACATTAACATAAGAAGAGCCGGATATGCGGGAGCACTGGTGAGGAGTTAGACCCCCACTGGTGGGTGAGTGAGTGAGTGAGTGAGTGAGCGAGAGAGAGAGAGATTGGATGATGGCGATATCTCTGGATGTCCTAGCACCTTAGCAGTGAACCGCTTGGGATGAGCTGGCCTTAAGGAGGAAGCAGATGTAGCAGTAGGAGAACAGACAATGGAAGGAAAAAAATACCGAGTCAGGGAAAAAGGATACATTGCAAGCACAGCCCTTGGATAAAAAGGAACAGGGATGCACAGTTAGGCTATTTGGGATGAACAGCCTTAAGGAGGGAGCAATGCAGCGTATTTGCTCTATGCAGGAACTGTTGAGCCACAGAGGCCTTGGGGCATGTGTGCAACGGGAGAGTTGCGGATTGTATCGGCGTGTTGCTGGGCAACAAACCTGTGAACACTTGGATTGCGCAACAGGAAGTAGGGGTCACGTGGCCTCTGTGAATTTGTACGCTTTGATCAAGGAATGTTTCAGCATTCATGACTGTTTCCTTCACGACTTCCACATCTCGAAAGATATCTTCAAATTCCTTGAGAGTGAACTCCTTCAGTCACTGCGACTGTCACCTGAATATTGTCTTCACTGTCTTCCACTTTGTTTTGACTTTGGCCTGCACCTTTCTGTAGTCGAACTTCCGGTTTACTATCTTCACATTTCCCCCACCAGGCTTGTGGCTCATGTTGCTCCTTCTTTGTACCTTGGACTGCCCTGGCTCAAAATTTCGGGGTAAGTGCACAAAAATCAGGGCCTTGGTGAGTGGAAGCTCGACAAAGTTCTTGTTCCTGCTTCAATGGCTGCCCTAGTGTTGTCGACGAACTTCACGTATTCTAGATAGCGTTCCAGCTCTTCCCTAGGCACATGGTATGAATTCAGTTGTCCCTCGGATACAGTAGTTCACATATTTCTTCTGCATTCTGAATCGTCTCCTCTATTGAATGCATCTCACTCCATACTTCCTCACAGTGTTCTTCTGCTGCCTTCATTGATTTCTCCAGTAAAAGCACCTTCTTCCGTAGCTGCTCACGGCGTTCTTCTTCTGCCTTCATCATCTTCTTTATTCAAGATATCTCAACCTGTTCACAAGAATGGCGATCATTTTGTGTGTCTTGCAGGTTCTGTGCCTGTTCTTCCAATTCTTGCATGAGTGTGACCCTCATCTATTCTCACCACCAGCTGTAATATCTTCTGTTCTTGCTCCCTATCATGCATCCATTGAATTTTCTGTTGAACAAGCTGCATTATCAGCTGAAATAGAATATAGATGAGGACCATCCACAGCAGGTTAGAAATCTCCCAGACAATTCGCGCATGTTCTCCGAATTGCCATCACGACACTGTTTCCATTTTGATTGTTGTGGCTGAAGTTAATCCTTTGTCAGCTGCTGAATATAAGATGGCTAATATGTCACTTTCTGGTATTACTATTGTTGCTATCTTCTTTACGTGTGTACTCTTCAAAGTCTACAAATAAAATGATGTGTCTCTCCCTGCTTCAGTTATGGAATATACAACTCGTATCCAATCACTCCACAAATCATCTTATCAGTGTGCTTTCACTAGCCTTCAAAATTCATTTCTTGACAACAGATTTTTCAGTCTTGCGGTAACTTCAAGTAAACAAATAACAAAACAAACTCCGTGGTTTTCGTCTGCAAGCAAACTATACCGACCGAACAACCACCACTTTTTGGCAAAGTTAGTGCCAACTTTAGCGGATAGAGGGTGTTGTGTGGTCAGAGCAACGAATCACCCACGGCCATGAATTTAGGTTTTCTAGACTGGAGGTAACTTCAAGTATCACTGTAAATACAGTGAAATACAGTTTCTGATAACTGTGTTATATTTTGAGATATTTTCTGAATGTGATATGTGATCTACTATGGCTTTTTCCATACCCTGCCTAACAGAATCTATAGAATGCATCTGTATCACTCACCATGAAGAGAAGGCACATGAGTGTGGCTGCAAGAAGCTGATGCCATGCTCCAGAGCTTCCACGTGGTAGTGCTGTTGCCATATGACAGTGGTCTATTTCATCATTGATGAAGTTGGAGGGATTCACTGTTACATTGCAAAATCCCTCCTGAAATTCAGAACATAACCAAAATTAGGAAACATCTCACATTAATACTCATCCAAGTATAAGCACACAGATGTTCTCCAAAAACCTCACAAAGCATTTCAAGGGTTCTGGTAGTGAATTTAGCGAGTCTCATGCACAACTTGATGCAGACATGTTGCTCAATTTTGCCATCCATCACAAACAAAATGAAACAAGAAGTCAAAAAAACACTCATGTAAAAACAACTCATGTTCACAGTGCTGTATCACATGACACACTGATGCAGTAAACTTGAGGAAGTGTGACCCTGGCCTTCTCTCTCATCTTCTTTCACCAAGGCAGTTACAACAGTAACAGCCAGGGAACTTTCCAATACCACCTCATAGTAGAGTTCACAATGTGTTAATTATCTCTGCCAACTGCACCTAGGAAACTATATTCATGCTATGTGTAACATGGTAACCTGATCTGGCCAGTATCTGTAAGAATGTATGTAATACACAAAAGAGAATAAAAAAAAAAACTTGGACAAAATTACAGAACCTAACAAAGGGTATAATTCATGTAGTGTGTATATTTTGTACAAATACTTTTTATACAATTACATTTAGTTTGACAACATTTAACAGATCCTAGGAGTGTGAAGCTTCCCACACCTGTTACTATCCCACATGCTTACTTTTATACAAGATCCAGCAAGAGCCACAGAAATAACATAAAATATAAAAATATATAATGTCATCTACCATCAGTAATGTCAGGGGAAAACTTTTCATATTATTTCATACTGAAAATTCTGAATAAAATATTGTGACGTGGATGACGCAATGGGAAGTAGGGGTCACGTGAACTCTGCAGTCTGCGAGTGACGTCACATACCCCCACCCCTTCCATTACCACGCAACGCTCGGTAAACACCCCCTCCCCCCACGGTGACGTGACCAAGGGATGCCACGGTTGCTATGCAGCAGTAAACAACTCCCGACAGCGCTGCTAGGCTATCGGCAAACATGGCGTCAGGCAACAGCGGTACCTATCACGTAACTGTTTTCTGTCTTGTCTGTGCCGAGGCTAAATAAGGAGCAGCGAACACTATTCAGAGTTAGTTAGTAGTTAGTTACTAGTGTGTCATCAGGAGTGACACAGTTAAAATGCAGCAACCACCAAAGACAGCTGAAATGTAGCCGTCACCGGAGACAGCTGAATTGGAACAGTCGCCGAGTTCAGTTGTAGCGGAAAGAAGAATACCAGAACGTGTGATTATAAGTGATAGTGTGAGAAGCAGATGCTTGGCTCACAAGAGAAGTAATTGGGAGTGTGTAATACAGTGACACTGGTATAGCTCCCGTATCCTACTGTGAATACGTGTAGACTACTGAGGACAGAGTGGACAGATTATTGTGTAGGCTTGTAAATTGTGTAACCCCGTAACAGTGTTATAATTAATTGTAGCCAAGACTTGTAGATTGTTAAATAAACCAATTAACAATCTGAACGGCGTCTTCAGAAGCAAAACACGTTACAATATAAACACAGTATGGCGGTAGCATAGTTGGTTGAGGGGATATGATACAAGCCGGAAGGTCGTTGGTTCAAGTCCTGATGAGGTCATTGGATTTTTTTCAATTGACCAAATCCTTCCGGCCGCACTATGGCCCTGGGGTGGACTCAGCCTCTAACAGAAATGAGTACCAGGAATTAATTAAATAATTTTCCTGGGGAGTAAAGCGCGGCCGGCACGTAAGGCTGACAACCTTATCGCCATCTTTGAGCCAATTGTCTACATAATGTGGGACCCTCAACATCTCACAACCCTATGGGGGTTTCACGGCCTGGTACATGGATAGCTTTACTTTTTTACGGCAGTTCAGGAGTAACCTGAATAATCAGAAAAGTCACTCTGCTACACACCCCTTATCTCAGCCAAGCTGAAGATGCCCCTGTGTTTAATTGAGAATGTATGGGGGAGTGCAGATATAGCTCCACCATTTTTTACCTTGGCAGTAGATGGAAGTGAGTGGCCAGTTTCATGCCCTGGTTGCTTTACCCTGGGGAGAGTGCCCATGAAACACATTGGATGAGGGACTGGGTGGGCCCCTGAGCCAGTCTGAACACTGTCCTGTCAGGTATCAAACTCCAGCCATCCAGCCCATAGTCTATCACTATACTGACTCAGATATCCTGGATCATCCTCATCTCCGGATACACTAAAAAACTAGGCACGTTTCAGACAAAAGTTACTCATCTGCATAAGATAAGTGTTAGAGCTGTGTACAAGTTTTATTATAAGAAGAAAAGAAAGAAACAAGAACAGTGACTTGTAATGTTACTATCTGCTAATCTCCCCAAGTATAAAACTGAACAGTGGTTACATAAGAGACAGACACAATTGCTGCTGTCTCATCACCAAAATTCAGGGCAAAATCGTGACATAACGATAGGAAACAGATGTTTTGCAAATGTGGCACAGTTCAGATAATTGGGAATGACGATAACATATCAAAACCTGATTCAGAAGGAAATTAAGAGGAGATTGAACTCATCTAATGCTTCCTACCATTCAGTCCAGATCCTTTTGTCTTCCTATCTGCTGTCAAAAAACATAAATATTAGAATATCCAAAACTATAATTTTGCCTGTGGTTCTGTATGGGTGTGAAACTTGGTCTCTGACATTAAGGGAAGAACATAGACTGAAGGTATTTGAGAACTGGACTTAAGAGACTTAAGAGAGATGAAGCGACAGGAGGTTGGAGAAAACTGCATAACGAGGAGCTTCATAATTTGTACTCTTCTCCTAGTATAATTAGAATGATCAAGTCAATGAGGATGTGGTTGGCAGGTCATGTAGCACGAATGGGGGAGAATAGGAATGCACATAGGAAATTGGTGGGAAAACCAGAAGGAAAGAACCACTGGGAAGACCAAGGCGTAGGTGGGTGGACAATATTAAAATGGATCTTAGAGACACAGGATGATATGGTATGGATTGGATTGATCTGGCTCAGGATAGGGACCAGTGGAAGGCTCTTGTGAACATGGTAATGAACCTTCGGGTTCCATAAAATGCTGGGAACTTCTTGAGTAGCTGCAGAATTGGCTTCTCCTCAAGAGGGGCTCAGCTCCATATGTAAATAAGTAAGTAAGGTTACATAAGAGAACAATCTTCTGTTTAGTCAAATACAAACTCCAGGAAAACTTCAAAGTTATACAACTTTAATGAGCAAAATACTAAAATATATTATTTACATTCAAGAATGCCTTTTACGCAATATATCTTCAGAATAAAGATTACATTCCTTGACAGTTCTTCATTGTCTAAAAGAACATGGCACATGTGCAAATACTTGTATGAGTTGTGCTGCAGTATGATAAGATAATGTATAACTGTAATGAGGTCAATTAATTACACATTTACCTGAGTTCCATACACTGCAAGAACCTGATACTATGTGGTATGGGCCTATATAAATTTGGACTTAACTCGTTAAAATACCATGGTCATCAACATGCTAATCCACTTTATGTATGAACATCGGGCTACAAAGGGTTGGAATCAGTTCAGCACTGGTGCCATACATTTTCAAGTATTATGAAACATTGGAAAATGAATACTTCATGTTATCTGAATAACCTGATGTTACAGCCAACTGCGGAAGAACATATGAGAAAAATTCCATACATTTTCACTTATCAAAATGTCTGGAATCAAACAAGATTCACTGGTGTGAATCTTACTACAACATAATTATGTAGTTTCAAGACATTTACGATGGGGTACCCAAAAGAAACCAAACTAATTTTTTTCTGGGCAGAGCTTTTGTAGTACCGCGTTTTGCCGCTATGAGCGCATAGAGCTAACATTCCTGAGTCGATAAGCCGACTACTGTTGCTTCAGAATGTAAGGACTAGTTTCGGCAGAGTTTACAGTGACAACTGTTTTGTGTGATCGTCGTTTTTGCAATGGGTGATTTTCGTGAACAGCGTGCGGCGGTGAAGTTCTGCTTTTTGCTTGGGAAAAGTGGAACAGAAACTCTTGAAATGTTAAAAACGGCGTACAAGGATGATGCTATGGGGAAAACTCAAGTATTTGAGTGGTTTTCCCGTTTCAAAAATGGTTAAATGTCAATTGATGACAAACCTCGTTCTGGTCATCCTTCCACGGCCCCTACACATGAAAATGTTGAAAAAAATCGTGAAATCATCAAGGAAGATCGACGAAGGACCATTGAAGAAATTGTGGAGCTGTCGGTAGTGACTTGGAGCTCAGCAACCAGATTTGTGGCAGTCGGGTGACTGGTTTTTCCATCATGACAATGCCCCTGCTCACACAGCCCTGTCTGTACGACAATTCTTGACCAAAAATGGTATGACCCCTGTTCCTCACCCTCCATACTCACCCGACCTTGCCCCGTGCGACTTTTTTTTGTTTCCTCGAATGAAAAGAGACATGAAAGGAAAAAACGATGGAGGCGCTGTCAAGCATCTCAAAAGATGAATTTAGACAATGTTTTGAAAAATGGAATAAAAGACTAGACAAGTGTATTGGTGTAAGTGGAGAGTACTCTGAAGGGGATTGAAGGTTTGTGCTTAAAATTTGAATAAATAAGTTTAAAAAAAATAAATTCTGTTTCTTTTGGGTACCCCCTCATACATGAAGCCATACAGTATGATGTACATGGTTGAAAACTGGATGTTTGTACAGAATTTGATGTAATTTGTAAACTTACATATGATACCTCCCAATGTGCTAACTGTGCAGAAATCAAATTTGGTATAAATAAGTTTCAAACCTACAGTTACATGGAAAGTTTTATTCCAGAGGTTTGCAGGCACAAAAATATGTTGTTTTTTTCAAGCAGTTCATGTGCACTACATGGAAGCCATGACAGTTCAGTTGGTGTGGTGATGGGCTTTGTGCTGGACAGCTGGGGTTTGGTCCCTGGCAGGGACAAGAGATTTCTCTCTTCTCCACAGCATCCAGACTGGCTTTAAAGCTCACCCAGCCAACTATCCAATTCA